CCATTGGAATAACAAAGCAAAACAGAGTTGCCATATGGGCACGAACATACCGGCCGCCTTGAACGACTGGGATAAGTTCGAAATTAAATTCAAGTTTCAAAATTGCATAAGTATCTATCAAGATCGTACAAATATTACAAAGTAAATATATCATTTTGCGTTGGCAAAAGCGTCAGTTTCGCAATAGGCCGCACCAATTCTCCGTCCGCCGTCTTCAGCTTTACTACGCGTACCAGTCCATCCGCACCCGGATGACACTGAGTTACACGCCCAAGTCGCCATTTAGTGGGTGGGCTATTCGAATCGTGAATGATAACAACGTCATCTTCTTTCAGGTTCGAGGAGGGGCGAAACCATTTAACTCGTTGTTGTAGGTTGACGACATATTCGTTTCGCCAACGTGACCAAAAATGTTGCCGCATTGCACTAATGGCTTGCCAACGTTGATGTAACGTCCCTGAGAAATTTTCGGTGTCAGGTTCAGGCAGCGCCTTGATTGGCTCACCAATCAAGAAATGACCAGGAGTGAGGATTTCCAAATCATCAGCACTAGCAGAGTGCCAATAGAGCGGTCGCGAGTTAACACAAGCTTCCACCTCCGTTAAAAGCGTAGCAAGTTCTTCGTATGTTAATAAAGAGCTACCGAGAGCACGCTTTAAGTGGTATTTTACTCGCTGCCTCCCAATAACCACCCATATGTGGAGCGCTTGGCGGATTAAAGTGCCATGTTATTTGCATGTTCGCCAAATACGAGGTAAGCTTTTCATCTCTCACGCAACGGCGGTAGGCGGCGTATAACTCTCTTTCGGCACCAACGAAATTAGTGCCGTTGTCCGAGTATACATGCTGACAATAACCTCTTCTGTTTACAAATCTAGAGAGAGCGGCGACAAACGCAGGTGAAGAGAGATCTCCAACGAGCTCGAGGTGCATTGCACCAGTACTCATGCATATGAAACTGCATATATACGCCTTGCATGATTTGGCTCCTCTGCCTCGTGAAAACTTTATAAAATAGGGTCCCGCAAAGTCGACGGCGCTGTGCAGAAAACATCGAGAACTCGTAAGGCGGCTGCTTGGTAGATCCGACATTACTTGACCCAACGGTCGGCGGTTAATGCGTTTACATTTTACACATTTGTGGTAGATTGCGCGAACAAGATTACGAGAACCCAGAACCCAAAAGCGACGTTGTAGAACTGTTTGCATGATTTGCGGGCCGGCGTGGAGCGTACTGCGGTGAATATCGGATATTATGAGTTTCGCCAGCGACGAGTTCTTTGGTAAGATTATCGGGTGCTTAACGTCGGTGGAGACAGAAGCTCGTTTTATTCGTCCGCCAACACGGAGAATGCCATCAACATCCAAAAATGGTTGAAGGCGGATTAGACGACTTCGTAATGGTATTTGTTTGGTTAACCTGCAACAAGTAATTTCCTTTGGAAAAGCGTTAGTTTGGATATACTTTACCAGTGCATTTTCAGCGTGGAGAATTTCACTGCTGGTGAGGGCGCCAGTACTGCGTTGACTGCTAGTTGTTCTTAAGTTGTTGACGAAACGTAGAGCATAGGCTGTAATTCTCTTGAGTTTAATATACGAATGATACCTTGACAATAGTTCCCAATCTTCTGCAGTTTGGGTGAGGTGTGATGCGGATTTGGTCGCTCGTAATTCGGAACTTATGTTCGAGTTACGCCTTGTCAGCAACTCCAAATCTTCTGTTGCTTGATGCTGCCACTGATCGTCATTTTCAGCTAACCAACTCGGCCCTTGCCACCAAAGATAATGGGCGAGTAGATTCGACGGAGCCAAGCCTCTAGACGCGCAGTCAGCTGGATTGTGCTCTGAGCGGACGTGTCTCCAGCACTCAGGAGCTAGAACTTCTTGTACTGCGGCTACGCGATTCGCAACGAAGACTGACCATCGACTTGGGTGACTCTGTAACCAAGCTAGCGTTATAGTTGAGTCGGTCCACGCGTATAAATTTTTCATATTGCAACCGAAACTCAACTGAACCTGCTTGACAAGATTGGCGCCTAAATGCGCTGCGCACAATTCCAGACGTGGGAGAGTAGTACTTTTTAAAGGTGCGACCTTCGCGCGCGCGGCGACTGGAACGACCTTAAAAGTTCCATCGGGTAGTTGCGTGAGCCAGTAGAGTACCGCAGCGTAGGCACGTTGAGATGCATCCGTGAAAACGTGGTATTCAGCATGCTCGACGATTTCACTGGTACCAATCCAACGATTTAGCTTAAGAGCCGTGAGTTTAGGTAGTTGCTGACGGTGAGAGAGCCACTCTTCAGCGACATCGGCGGGCACCGGTTCATCCCAATCAACTTCCGCTCGCCAGATTCGCTGGAGCCAAATTTTCGAGAGTATAGTGCACGGCGCGATTAGCCCGAGTGGGTCGAAGACTTTACTCGAATCTGAGAGAAAAAACTCTTTTCGTAAGAATTGCAGGCAGTGGGGTCAAATCCACTGCAATCGATAAGCAATCGTCGCTTGTGTTCCAAATGATTCCTAGGGTGCGTACTTCATCGCCGTCAGCTAACAGATGTGAAATTTGCTTTGACGCATGCGGTATTTTCTCCCTAAGCTCGTCGCAATTTGTAGCCCACTTCCGTAATTCGAAGCCAGCGTTAGACAGAACTATGGTAACGTCATTTCGTAGCTTCATAAGGTTGTCGACAGAAAATGAGCCTGTGAGAAGATCATCCATGTAGAAGTCGCGCATGATGACAACAGTTGCTTCTTTGTGCGTTTCGATGGCATCCAAAGCGAATTGGTGCAGAGATCGTACGGCCAAGTGGGAAGCTGCGGCGACGCCGTAGGTTACACGAAGCATGCGATAGTCCCGAATAGGTTGGGTTGGGTCGTCACGCCAAACTATGCGTTGGTAGTCCACATCTTGTTCTGCCACGTATACCTGTCGATACATTTTTTCGACATCGGCCATTATTGCGTAACGATGAGTCCGGAACCGCACCATTATAGAAAACAGATCCTCTTGTAATTGCAGGCCTATCATTAGTGCATCGTTGAGCGAGAAACCGGATGTGGTTTTACATGAGGCGTTGAACACCACTCTCAGTTTAGTGGTGGAGCTGGTGTTCTTTACTACAGCGTGGTGTGGCATGTAGTAACTTTTATGCGGTTGGGCGTTGCCTACGAGCTCCATGTGGCCCATATTTAAAAGCTCCTGCATAAATTCTGCGTATTGACGGCGTAGCTCCTCATCAGCAGCGAAACGTTTTTCCATTCTTAGCAGACTTCTTACGGATATGTTTCTCGACTCACCTAAAGGCACGGATTCCTTTAACGGTAGGCGTACGATGTAACGCCCGTCTTCAGCGCGGCGACAATGCTTGCGAAAATGCCCTTCACAAGCCTCCTCTTCGACAGTTAAGTATCGCTTGGGGGGAAACTCTTCGAGCTCCCAAAACTTACTCACCATTCGGATGAATTGCACATCACAGTGCAGGGATAAAACTCCCGCACTTGGGCTGGATGAACGCATGGCCTTTCCGAAAAGTACCCAACCGAAAACTGTGTTTTGCGCCATGGGTGTGTCAGGTGGCCCTTTGCAGAGACCGGTTAACAAGAATTTATCCATCTCATCCATCCCTATTAACACATCAATAGGACCAGGTTTGGCGTAATGCTGATCAGCAAGAGCGAGATTTCGTAAGTGCGGCCAAGACGACATCTGTACACAAACGCTGGGAAGATCGTTTGTAATCTTCGATAAAATAAGCGAGTTGATTGTGAAATGCTGGTCAAGAGATCGGGGCGCAAGTGAAAGAATAGTCTCACCAACTTTACCGCCATCTGTTGAACCAATACCTGTGACATGAGCTGCCGAAGGTTTCCTTTGTAGACGGAGGCGTTGAATACAGGCCTCTGTCACGAAGGATGCATGTGAGCCGTTGTCAAACAACACCCGAGCAGGTTGCCATCGCCCTGCATGATCTTGCAAATATATCTCTGCGGTTGCCAATAAAATGGCCTTGTCAGCTTCAGCGACGTGAGATGCTACGCAACCAGAGTGCGGTACATCCGAGCTAGCATTATGTATACGCGCCGTAGTAGAGTCATCGATTGTAGATGACGTAGTCGATTGTTGCACAAGTAGATTGCCTTCCTGCTTTACAAACGGAGAAGCGTGTACATTCAGCTCATCGCTGGTCGTGTCATCTTCGCGGCAGCCGTGTAGTAATGTATGATGACGACGACGGCATATGTTACAAGTTGATAAACTGCGACATTTTGCTTGAAAGTGGCCTTTGCTCAGACAGTTGAGACAAGCATTATGTTTCTTGACCAATACAAACCGGGCAGCAGCATTTAATTTACGGAAAGTTGGGCAGGCGTAAATTTTGTGTTTGGCGTTGCAATGGAAACATGAGGGTGAACTGGCTCCTGCATCAACCAGGTTGGATGAGGAGGTGTGTTGCTCACCAATCGCATGGAGCACGTTTGTTGTAGTCTTCGCCGCAGTTTTGCTGAGCTGGCGCGCTCCTTGCGCTGAGGTTGACAGCACCACTCGTCGGTACCATCTCTAGCGAACGCGCACGTGTTTCCAAAAACTCGATCAACTCTTCAAAAGTAGGTAAAACATCCCTCACCAATGACAGCTCCCATTGTTTCCGGGTTTCGTAAGCCAACTTCGAAACGGTAAGGTGGACAAGCCAATCGTCCCAAAACTCCACAGGCCGACCTAAAGCACGTAGCGAGCCAACGTGTTGCGTGGTAGCGTTTAAAACTTGCTTAATGGCCTTACCAGTATCTCGAGATGCCTTTTCAATTGCAAAAATTGCTTTGAAGTGACCATCAACCATGACACGCAAAACCTTGTAACGCGTGGTGAGTAGATCCCACGCAGCATTGTAGTTGGCATCACAAATCTGTAGACTGCTTACAAGTTGGAGCGCCTCACCTTGAAGACAATTGCGCAAATAATGCAATTTTTGACTAGCAGACAAACTCGCGTTCGTGTGTACGAGCGACTGGAACGCGTCGAAAAAGGCTAACCAATTTGTAGGGTCTCCACTGAAAGTCGGCAGCTGTAACTTGGGCAGTTGAATTGGCGAGGACGTGAAACTTGTTGATGTGGAAGGGCGCGGTTGCTCAGGGCTTCCGATGAGGCGTTTAAAATTCGCCTTTGCTGTGATGTACCACTCTTCTGCCTGCGTGCGTGATTGCTCTTCAACCGGCGCACTTTCTTCGCCGCACAACAACTCTACTTCTTGTTGAGCGTCAGCGAATCTGACCCACTGCTCCTCGAGAAGCTGAAGATACGTTTCTACTGCTTCTTTGTTTAATGCCAACGCATCATTTTTGCTGATTACAACATATCGTTTGATTGCGTTTAATGCAGAATCACGCACCTTCACTTTGGACATGGCGTGATGTATACAATTGGGGTTATGGCACACACGTGTAAATGTTGTTACGAAATTTGCGCTTAAAATCGCACTTATGCAAGCGAGAGCGTGGAAATCAATTTATAAGCGTTTTTGCTCTTGGTTTTAAATGTTCTTAAGCCAGTACAAGCTTGTTAAAACGTATTTAAGGACCGTATTTTGACCCAAATTAATCAACGCGATCCCGGACGAAGGACCAATATGTTGCGTACAAAAGCGAAAAAGCGTATTATTACAAAAGTCCGATTG